GGTCCTTACGGCGAATGAAGGCGGCCTCGGGGGGGGGAACGACACGCGCGGCCTTCGTCTGGGTCATCGCTGACCACTCGACCGCGTCCGACTCACGGAACTGAGCTCGCTCCTCCGGGCTCAGATGCTTCCAGACGACTTCCTGACCTCGCTTCGTCCCTGCGTCCGGCTTGGCTGACGAGGATGACCCACTCACGACGAAAGTACCTCCCTCGGGGGACCGAGCGCTCCCAGCATACACCTGAAGAATCTCCGCGAAGAGGCCCAGATCCTGAGGGTCCGCCTCGCTGTCATCGGCTGGCCCGAGATCGATCCAGAAGTCCCCAGTGCCCCCCTCGGGTCCCTCGGCGAGGCCCACCAGTGGCCCTGGCTCGATCCCTTCTCCGGGACTGCTTAACTTTTCCCATTCCTGAACTCGTTCGACAACGGAGGAGCCCCCGTTGGCTTCGACTGGGGTCACCCGAAGGTCCTGGGTTAGCAGCCCTCGAACTGGGGATCCCGGACGCCGTGTGTGAGTCGAGACTCGAGTGACTGCTCGTGGAGAGCGGTCTCGATCGGCGCTCCGAGCCGTCTCCTCCGGTGGCGGTCTCGGCGCGGTCTGGCCGCCGGTGACCTGCGGCGGCAGGGCTCCGGGGGGCGACACTTGACTGTTCGTTCGAGGACGGGGCGCGGGGGGGCCTGGCAACTCGGGTGGAACGTGAAGCTTCTCCTCCTTCTCTCTGGCATCCCCCGGGTCGGAAAGGGCCTCCGGCATCCCAGGAGCTGGGCTCGGAGGCACTGACTCCCCTACTTCACGCACTGATCCGGGATCAGAGCGAAACGAGGCTGGCTCTGGGACGGGCTGAGGCTCCTCATCCAGAGTAGGTCCTGGGGCGTGGCCGCCGTGCCTTCCGCTGGCTTCGCCGGGGGTAAACGGGCCGCCGGCTTCCTCGGCCCGGGGGCCCGCGGTGTCCCAGGCTTCCTCGGAAGGAGGACCCTCCTGCGTCACATCAAGAGCCCCGATACGGCGACCGGGATTCTTGACCTGCTCCTGGAGGCTCCGGAACTCCGCAGTGTCCGCCAGCTCGGCTCCCTGGGCTTCAACCCTGGTGGCGGCCCGGACTTGCTCGGTGCTGCATTTCCAGAGCTTCGTCCTCATCGCGACCCACACTGTGGTGCCGCGTTGCGCCACGACGGCCCCGGGGCCCACCCAGCGGTCTCGCTGCAGAGAGTGGCTCTTGGCCCCGACAAGCTTCCTCCAGACGTAGACCCACTGCCCAGGAACATGCGCTCGATCGGCGTGGTGCCGCGCCCGACTGGCTTCTGACACGCGTGATCTCGCATCGGCCGACATGAGTGCCAGCTTGGCCTGTTCCCGAATTTGATGCTTCCTCGCGAACGCCCCTGCTGCAGAGTCGCAGCCTTCGACATTCCCCTGGATCACGTCATCGACGCCAACATCGTCCACCCCCTCATCGCTGAGCAGGGCCCGGGGGAGACGGGGTTCTCTCCGAAGACTAGCTGGCACGGGGAGTACCCTGGGCGGTGGTAATATCTGTTCTTTGCAGCCACCGTCTCGTAAATGAGGAGCTCCACTTCCTCGAGGGTGTTGGGGTGCACAACTTCCGAGGCCTTCGAAACCGCATCCTTGATCTAGCCTCCGTGTCTCTCTGCCCTGCCGTTTTGCCAGGGAGAGGTCGAGTCGCACACGTGTTGGAAGGTTCCAACGCGTTCGCACCCTCTCACGAACGCTCCGAGGAATTCCCCCCCGCCATCGCTGATAAGAACCTCGGGGGGACCGAAGATCCGCAGCCAGCATCGCTCGAAAGCGGCCCAGAAGTTCTCGGAACTCAGGGCGTCGTTGGGCGGTATCATGTGACACTGCTGAAACCCTGATCCGTGGTACGGCGATTTTGGTCCCCAGGACCGTGACGAAAAAACAATCGACCGCTACCACGCGGTTGAAGCGATAGGTCCTCGGGACCGCGGCCCGACGACGCCAGGTCGGCTTGGCGTGACTGTCACACTGCTCGCAGCGGAAGTCATGCCTCACGTATTCTAAAACGTCGGACCGGGCGTGTGCTAGCTTCAACAACTTGAGAAACGCGTCCCGAGGGGGGGGGGCAAGGTTGATGTGCGTCTTCAAAACTTCCCCCTGAAGCCCCTTACTGAGCTTCCTGCTGGGCCGGGGCTCCCCCCCATCTTCTACTGGGTCCCCCTCGGAGGCGGAGTCATCTGCCTCCTCGTCGGCGGCCAGTGTGGCGGCCGCCGGTTCCTGAGGGCGGGAGAAAGAGGCAAACTCGTCCTGATACTCTTCGCGGTGTCCGAGAGCAGCGATGCGGGTCGATTCGAAAATCCCCTCACTGATGGCTTCGACGAGGTCGGGAGGATACTCCTGAGCGGCACGGGTCATAGCCCGGCCGCGCAAGTGCTGATGCCTGCGTTCCCCCTGACATCGACGCAGGAGGGGTCTCAACAGCGTGGGGCGATTCGTAAGACATCTGGTGGGTTTCTTGTTCGGTCCCCCCCCCTGAACGGCCAGTCCGTACTGGCAGAGATCGGCGACCCTGGAGACCACGCCTGGTCGACTCGAAATCTCCCGCACCGAGGCGAGCTCCCACGAGCAGGCTCCCTCCGGATGCTCCAGAAGGAACCCCCTACCCCTGGCCATCTGGTACTCGGCCACTCTCATGCAGAAGGACATGAAACGAATCCCCTTTTCTTCGGCTTCTCGAAGCCGCTCGGCCGACATCCTTTTCCAGCTGGGTCGTCGGGCTATCGAGAACTGCAGGCATTCAGGAGACATGACCACGACCTCAGGCTGGTCGGCCTCCAGCAGGGCCCAGGCCGTTCGCTCTCCGGCATCGGTCGACAGGTCGAGCGAAGATCGAGGCTGCGAGACACTGGGTAGCCCCGACTCTTCAAGTCGGCGGTCGTGCGAGGGACCGAAAAGAATTCCATCACGAGCTTCCGGCCTGACTCGGCCAGATAGTCCTGGATCAGACGTTTCCGATGACGCTTCAGCTTCTTGACGGTTTCCCCCCCGGTCGCGGTCAGAACGGCATCCCGAACTTCCCCGGGGACGTGGCACGTGAGCTCCTCGAGCTCTGGACCCGGGGCCGGCAGTCCTGATCCCAAGGTGAGAATCCCCCCAAAAGGCGAATCTTCGACATCCTCGGATCCTGGGCGCTCCTCCTTCCCCTGGGCTGGAATCCTCCCTGTCGGTCCGGGCGGAGGGACGTTGGTCGTCGCCCCAGTCGATCCGGGCGGAGGGACGTTGGTGGTCGCCCCAGTCAATCCCGGCTGCGGGGTGACCCAGATCTCCACCTTCAGGCTGTCGCTCGGGGCCTCCGCAAGTAGAGTCTGTACCTGCCGAGCGCTGAAGTCGGGCGCGAGCGTGTCGTAAAGGACCCTCGAGCCTCCTCGACACCTGATTCTGGCGAGCCCCCGGACCCACTCCCCTAACTCGACGCTGGGTCGACCGACGAGGTGACAAGCGACGCGAGCGAAGAGCGCTTCGACTTCGTCCCTGGACAGTTCCCTGGGCAGCCACCCCCTTTCCCCGGCGACCTCGTCGAGGATCGTGGCCGTCCCCTTGGCGCTGTCCCACCACACGGACTGGGGCCGGAAAAAAGTGCCCCGATGAGCATTGCCGCATCGGCGCAGCTGTCGAGCACGGGCTACGGACGCAGCCCTCCAGATCAAGTGCTTTCCCTCGGAGCCCCCCCCCACGGGACAGCACGTGCCACTGGGATCCCGGGGCCCCGTGATTTGCTGAGGATTGGGTTCGTTCCCTCCCGCTCCTTCCCCATTATCCCCGCTGCTCCTCAGTTGCCGCGGCTGCTGGCCAGGCGCTCGATCGCTGTCGCCATCTTGCTCAGCGTCTCGGCGTTGGCCTGCATGGCGCTGGCCAGCTGTCCCAGCTCCGTCGTGGCACCCGAACTGGATGATGCCGACGGGGTAGCTGCCTTCGTCGACGGCGGCTTGACCTTGTGAACCCTCTTGGGCGGCTCGAAGGGCGCCTCCTGCGCCAACTCCCGCTCCATGGTCTGCCGCGCTTCCTTCCTGGCCTGCTTCTCGGCCTTGCGCTGCAGCTGGGCTCGGCGCTCTTCCTTCGTCAGCGGGCGCATCCACAGCTTCTTGTCGCACGCCAAGCACTTGGCCCACCTGCTGTACTGGTTCTCCGTCTCGAAGAGTGCGGAGATCGGGTGGCAGCACTCCAGCTGCCCCGTCTTGGTCACCTGCTCTGCCCGAATCTCCTGCATCATGTTCGACATCTTCTCGGCTGCGATGTGATCGGCCAACTGCACCATCATGCGTTTCCATCCCTTCTCGGCCGTCGTCAGCTGACCGGTGGCCTTGATCGACGCTGGCCACGGCATCTCCCCGAGCGGGTCGGTCGGCGAGTCTGATTCGTCCTCTTCGCCGATCTGCTCCCAAGACGCCTGGCTGTTCGTATCCATCTTCTCCTCGAACCGGACCGACTGGCGCGGCGCGCTGGGCTTCCTCTCCTTCATGCCGCCCTTCCTCACCAGACTGCTCGACCGTCCCGAGCCGGGAGCACCCTGCAGCGACTTCTCGAGTCGCCCCATTGCCGAAGCTCTCGGAGGTGATCTCGTGGCGCGGTTGACTCTCAGGTTCTTTGAGCCCAGAGATCTTTGGAGCGCCGGTCCCCTGGATGACGCCCTCTTCGACTCCTCGACTCCTCGCCGCCTCTGTCTGCCACCTCGCCTCCTCTATCTCAGCTTGCGGTGCCTCCTGGCTCCTGAAATCGGGATCTCCTCGAGACACTTCGACTCCCATCGGCCTACCCGAGGCCGCCCCGACCGCTTCTCCCCGAGAGGGTCCCCCCGGGAACGTTGGGCGAGGGTGCTCTGGACGTCCTGGAGCGCGTCCTAATTCCGAATTAGGACGCGCGTCCTGGAGGTCTGCGGGAGAGGGAGACAGACTGCAGGAGGTGGAGGGAGAAACATGCGCACCGAAATCGCTCGTGCCCAGTCCTGGCCAGCCCAGCTGAGCGCCTGCCGGAATCTCGAATTCCTGCGGGCTGCTCTCGTCCAAAAGTCCTGTGGTCCGATGCCCGGACCTCTGCCGATTCATGGGGGTGACCGTGCTGCGGCCGGCCATGCTCACGGCAATGGTGTTCTTCTCGAGGTCCACGACGGCGCCCGGGCTCTCCAGCCAGCGCACCGGGAGCAACAAGGGCACGTCCTCGGCGATGACCCTGAACAGGATCAGGCACCTGATGCCGCCCTTCGTCACAGGCACCATGGCTTCGCCGATCACCTTCGAGCTTCCTCCGATCCCCTTCGCGGTCCCCACGTGATTCACCTCGCGAAAGGGGGTGTTCCAGCCGCGCTCACGGTACTTGCCGATCAGGGTCGTCAACTGCTTCTTCCCTACCAGTGCCTGTCCGGCCGCAGTGTCTATCATGCCCTCGGGCTCATCCTGAGGGTGCATCTCGAACGCGTAGGCGTCGTCGTCTCCCCGCACTTTCCGGCACAGCTCAAGAATCCGATGGCTGCCCACGATGAAGGAGCCGAAGTCGCCGTCGTCCTGTCGTCGCCGCCAGGTAGTAGGAACGGTCGCCATCTCTCTTGGGACGCGGGGGCTCCTTCTGCGTGGATCCCGTCGTCGTCGGCTTGGGCTTGTACGGGTTGGTGCACTCCTTTCGCCAGCGGCCCTTCTGGCCGCAGTTGGCGCACCTCGTCCTGAGCTTCAGCTGGCTGACGCTCAGCCGCTGACGCCCTGTTCCCGAAAGTGGAGCCGGCCTGCCACCGCTGCGCTTGCTGTCGAAGAAGTCCCGGTCTCGCGCGATCGCCTTCTTCAGCTCTCTGCTCTCAGCCCACTTTCGAGGCTTGCCCGAGGTCGCTCGCTTCTCATCCAAAACTGCGGCTAGTACTGCCACTGCCAGATCTTCGTCCAGCTCCTGGCTCTCGATCGCCTCGTAGAAGGCCGCCGCGTCAGCGTCGTCCATGATGAGGTCCCGCTCGAACTCGTAGTAGATGGCGGCGTCGGCGCTCCCGTCTTCGTCGTCACTCTGGTCCGCGGCGCACACCTTCTGCTTTCTTGCTTGCGACCCCTTTTTCCGAACATCCATCTTCATCAGTCCGCGCTTGATCGACTCCAGGTCCTCCTTGCCCTGAGTGATCGACAGAAGGTTTATCATGTTCTGCTCTGTCAGCCCTGATCCGTTCTTCAGCTGCTGCACTTGCACTTTCTCCGGTAAGTCCAGACCGTGTCGCCGCGCCGTGCGTACTTGGAGATCCCGCCTCATCACGTACTGCGTGTACGTCTCCCCCGAGCGGATCTCCGTGTCTTCGAGCACGAGCCTGTACGCCTCCTTCGCCTCGTCGTCGTCCTGGTCGCCCCTGCACCTCTTCAGGAACGCGTAGAGCGTCTCCATGCCCGACGGGCCGTCGAGCTCGTCCTGATAATGCAGGAGGCGTTCCTACAGGTCTGGAGGTAGACCGTCTATGACCTTGCCCGCCTGCTGCTCTGCCGGCAGCCCCGTGCGCCGGCTCCATCTCTTCACCTGCACCAGCCAGACGTCGAGCCTCTCGAAGCCCTGCCACGGCTGCGGGCCCTGCGTGTCATTCGGCCGCCAACCGCCTGTGGCCCCCTGCTCCGTGAACGACTGCGCCGGCCATCCCGAGACGGGCGCAGCTGGAGGCGGTGGTGCGTCGGCTGCCTCGAGCGACGTCGCCCCGGCTGCTCCTGCCGCGGTCGCCGCTGCTCGTGCCTGAGGCTGGCTGGCCGCGGCTGCTGCTGCCGCCGCCGCTGGTGCCTGAGGCTGGCTGGCCGCGGCCTCTGCCGCCGCTGCCGCCGGTGCCCGAAGCTGGCTGTCCGTTGCTGCCGCGGTGGCCGTCGTCGCCGGCGCCGGAGGCGAGGTGCCTCCTGCAGCAGCCGCTGCTCCGCCCATCAGGGCTCGCGGGAGCGGAGGCTGCTCTGGCGCCGTGAACATGGCCCAGCTCGCGCTACCCCAGCCCGAGCCGTCCCACGGCTGCCACGGAACCCAGCGCCATCGGCCGGCACTCCATCCCTGTCAGTCGTTCGCCTGGCTGCCCTGCTGCCAGGGATCTCCGCCTGGCTGCTGCCACGGGTCGCTCCCCGCGGCCGTGGCCGCCGCCGCGGCTGCTGCTGCCACGCTGTCCGCCGCCGCGGCTGCTGCCGCTGCGTCAGCGGGGTGGTCCCCGCTCGCTGCTGGTGAGGCCCCGCTGGAGGCCGGCTGCGGCGGGCGGGTGCCTTCGGTCTGCTCTCTGTGCGTCTCCTCCTCCGTGGTGTCTGGAGGGGCAGGCATCTGCCCTCCGTCTGCGCTCCCCGACGCCTCGTGGCCCTCCTCAACCATCACGCTCCTGCTACCATTGTGAGCCGACGATCGGATCGAGAGGGACGGACGGGCGCGGGGAGAGGGCGACTGAGGGTCGCTGGGGCCCGCCTCTCCTCCCCACGTTTTCAGAGACTTGAGCCACAACAATCACAGTACGCGCACGCCTGCAGCAGAGAATAGCAAAGCACGAGACTATTCACGCAGGCTCCCAACATACCTAGCTCGAAGGGTGGGGTGGCAAGGATATACAAGACAACGAGGCTGCGACGGCGAGCACGGAACCGCCAGACCGCCGGCCAGGCCCAGACGACCGGCGGCGATGAGGCGGCGACGGCGAGCACGGAGCCGCCAGACCGCCGCCCAGGCCCTGACGACGGGCGAAGACGAGGCGGCGACGGGGCGGCGACGGCGAGCATGGAGCCGCCAGACCAGCAACCCCCCTGAAGCACGGGCGACGACGATGCGGCGACGGCGAGCAAAGAACCGCCAGACCGACAACCCCTCCCATTTCCTTATACCGCAGATATGAAATTCTGAATGCAAGCGCTGTTTGGGGCAAAAACTCCACACCCGCCTCGCACACCTTGCATAAAAAGGCTGCAAGGCCCAAAGTGTGCCAGCGCTCCCTGGAGATCCCACCTGGTGTTCTCGGGTGGGGATCACGCAAGTCAGGTAGGCCTTGCACCAGTCGGTGCGTGAGCAGAGAAAGAACATGAAGCCAGCAAGCCTTCAGCAATGTGGTCAGGCCTTGACTATTCGCTCCAACTCGCGAGCGGCACCACCGTTTTGGCAGAAGTAGTCCGCGAGTCGCGCATGGGAGCCAGAACCTCCCAATGCACTCTTCAACACAGGGTGCCCCCAAGTTTGGCGATACGTATTTGTTTTTGTACGCTGGAGGCCCCCAGTGGGATCACCCGAAACAACAATAGCTTGTCTGGTGCGTTGGAAGTCTGCCTCTGTTCTCCTTCCTCAAACCTCCCGCGCCGAAGTGACTCCCTGACGGTCTCAGGGGGTGCTGCGAGGGTGCCGAGAGGCCGAAGATGGCGAAGCGCCTCAGTGTTGTGGTTGTTCGATGCGTTGGACATCTGCCTCTGTTTTACAGTAGGGGGCCGACCACAAGAAACCTTCCACAAGAAACTCAACCCTGAGATCTCAGAACGTCCACAGACTTTTGGTGCGGGCAGGTTGCGCTCTTCATAGCAAAACCATCGAAGCCCAAAAAAGCCAGGGCAGCCTGGAGGCAAGCAGGGTGTTTCTTGGCCTGGGTCTCCACCGTATTCACCGAGCCCTCAGATTCGACGTCGCGAAACACTTGAATTTGGAGTCCTGAAACGGTGCGGTGACAGACTGTGCGGTGACCTCGAAATCCCCCAAGATCTCACCGCACGGTCCGTCAACGCACGGTTTCGAGACCTCGGATGCCCCAGTCGCCCGAGACGTCCTCGGAGAACGACCCGAGTCCAAAACCGTGCGGTGACCCCGAATCCCCACCGACTCACCACACGGTGCCCCGTTTGGGGGCCCCCGAACTTGAAACGAAGCTGAAAGCCACGACCGGAGCCTTCAACCCGATCACTCCGCGCCCTAGCTCGAGCCCGACCGATCCTCGAGGGCCTCGGGGCCCGAAGCAAGGCCGACAGCGCCTGGCTCGGATAAACTATTGCGACGCCAGGATCCCAGGGAAGGTCTACTTCTGCTCCTCCTCCTCGATTCTCCTGCGAAGCAGCGACTCCCCTGACGGTCCTCGAATCTCGACCCTCCTGAACCTCTTCGAGCTTCCTCGAGCCTCCTCGAACCTCCACGGGCATCCTGAACCTCCTCGAAGCTCCTCGAAGCTCCTGAAAGCTCCTCGAAGAGCTTCCTCGAAGAGCTCCTAGCTCCTCGAGCCGCCTCGAGGCTCCTCGGAGTTTCTCGAAGCTCCTCGGAGCTCCTCGAAGCTCCTCGACGGTGCTGACTTTCTTCTGTCCTAGAAGTTCCCGCGCAGCAGCGATTACCTGACCGTCCTAGAGGAACAAAGTGCATAAACATGATTTCTCGGAGGTCCGCGCAGATTTCTTGGGTCGGCGCTGGACCCCCTTGCCTGGCGCGCGAAGCGCGCACCTAAGACATCTGCGCGGAGCGCCGATCGATTATGCTTGTGCGATTTGTTTGTGCTTCGTGGCCCGAACCCGCAGCTAACCCTATGCCCCTGAGGTTCACAGGGTGGGGATAATAAAGTTCGGGGTCCAGGGAGGATTTGAAACCGTTCCCCAGCAGGTCGCAGCATGAAGGACGTTGAGGGGGGAGAAGGGAAGGGGTGGGAGGAGCAGACAGTCGTAGTAGTAGCAGTAGTAGTAGTAGTAGTAGTAGTAGTAGTAGTAGTAGTAGTAGTAGTAGTAGTAGTAGTAGTAGTAGTAGTAGTAGGAGTAGTAGTAGTAGTGGTGGTGGTGGTGGTGGTGGTGGTGGTGGTGGTTGTCGTGGTGGTGCTAGTAGTAGTAGTAGTAGTAGTAGTAGTAGTAGTAGTAGTAGTAGTAGTAGTAGTAGTAGTAGTAGTAGTAGTAGTACCAGTAGTAGTAGTAGTCGTTGTAGTCGTAGTAGTAGTAGCAGTAGTAGTAGTAGTAGTAGTAGTAGTAGTAGTAGTAGTAGCAGTAGTACTAGTAGTAGTAGCAGTAGTAGTAGTAATAATAATAATCGTAGTAATCGTCGTCGTAGCAGTAATAGTAGTAGTAGTAGTAGTAGTAGTAGTAGTAGTAGTAGTAGTAGTAGTAGTAGTTGTTGTTACTGTTGTAGGGGAGGGGGGAAAGAGAAGGGAGGCGGGAGGGAGGAGGAGCGGGGGAGGAATTTCGAACAAAACAAAGTTGCACGCCGTTCGCATTTCTTTTTAAAAAACCTATCATTTCAGAAAGGTGTTTCAAATCCTCGCGTGGCGGGGTTAATCTCGAGCACTTTCCGGCGATAACAAAAACCTGGAGATAAAACAACGAATGCGAATAAGGTTGATGTAATCGTACTAGTCGTACTCGTAGTCGTAGTTGTAGAAGTCGTACTAATACATGATGGTCATGATGATGACAATCGCATGCTGCTGATGCTGATGATGCGGTAAGAAGATTTACCATATGATGTGTACTTTCCGCGGTGATAATGAAATCCGGCACCGCCGCCTCCCACCGCCGACTGAACTGTATTGGCTGGCTAGGGCATGCGGTTACGCAACAGCGATGGCGAAACGGAGAAGGGCGACGAGGGGACAGAAAGAGAGCCTCCGCAGCCACGAGCGCGACGATGCGGATTACTTCCAGACTAGCCTAAGAAGAAAAGAGGCATTCAACAAAAACTTTTGGCGCTCCGCGCGAATTTCTTGGATCCGCGCTGGGCCCCCCCTCCCTGGCGCGCGGAGTGCGCCAGTGGTGGCGCCGGAGCGCCGAAAGTTTACACGTCGTTCATTTCTAATCGTGCTCATTCCTAACTGTGCTCGTTTCTAATTGTACCTGGCCCCCTAGTGGCCAGGACTAGGCCCAGGAAAAAACAATGAGAAATGAAAGGATCGTGGCCCCCCGAAAATCAAATAACTTTCGAAGAGTTGGAAACGAACTATGTGTATGTTTATGGCGACTGTTCTTCTTCGATCGGTTGGAAGATTCTCCTGGGGGTCTTGCCCTTGGAGGGCTTGTTCCTCCTCGGACCTCCCGCGCAGCAGCGACTCCCTGACGGTCCTGACCCGCACCACCGTGCCGGCCCGGGCCTGCAGCTCGGCCTCGCCAGGCCCGCGGAGCATGGCCGCATGTTCGAGGAGCTCCTCGGCGTTGAGGTTGGGTCGAGCATGTCCCCCTACAGGCAGATTCTGGAGGACACATATAGAGCAAATTCAAGAGTGGCCAATCAAAAATCGGAGAAACCGTCCCCAGAATATGTCTTGACCATTTCGAATTTTCCTCCTGTAGAGGGACATGCCCGATTTGAAATTAAGGGGAGGCCCTCTCCTCCAGCAGAGGAGGAGGAGGAGGAGGAGGAGGAGGAGGAGGAGGAGGAGGAGGGGGAGTAGTTATTCAGAAGAAAGAGGAGGAGGAGGAGGAGGAGGAGGAGGAGGAGAGGAGGAGGAGGAGGAGGAGGAGGAGGAGGAGGAAGGAGGAGGAGGGGAGGAGGAGGAGGAGAGAGGAGGAGGAGGAGGAGGGGGAGGAGGGCTGGGGGTGGGGGTGCCCGAGCAGACGGTGCTGGAGGATCGCGCCGCACCGCCGATGCACCGCCGGTGTGCGTCGGCAGGACGTCGGCGGCGCAGCGGCGCGGCCTTGGCGCGACGAGGCTCGTGCTCTCGGCGTCGCGCCGGGCCGCGCCGGAGGCACCGGACGTCGCTGAAAGGGGTGAAGGGGGAGGAGGCCGAGAAGGAAGAGGAGGGTGCACAAGGAAGAGGAGGAGGAGGAGGAGGAGGAGGAGGAGGAGGAGGAGGAGGAGGAGGAGGAGGAGGAGGGGGCGGAGGAGGAGGAGGGGGCGGAGGACAAGAGAAAGGAGCTGCAGCAGGATAGGGGTATTATGAAAAGGAGGAGGGGGATGCTAGGAGGATGCGGGGGCGTGGGCGTCCGACCCCCCGTCGCAGCTCGGACCCCGCTCGGGGGCACCTGGCGGTGTGGCTTGCCTGTGGGCTTGCTTGTTCGGGTGTCGTTTGTCTGTGTGGCGTCCGCCTCTTTCGTGTTACATGCTTTTTTTGTTGGGGGGGGTCTGTCTGTTTGGGTTGCCGAGGTTGCTTCTTCATGTCTGGCTTCCTGCCTGTAGATGTGGTAGGCCGTTGGTTCTCCCTGTTGTGTAGTTTGGACCCTTGAAGGGGCCCCAGGACACACAAATAAATACACACAAATCAAAAGATTCCTCCAATTTTCCGATATTTTCTGGGTTTCTGCCTTCCCCCCCACTTCCCATATTTTCCCATATTTTCTATGGGATCGAAGATTAATTGTGTCTGTGTGTTTGTTCCCTCCTGAACCCTGGCCCCCTCCCGTTCCTGCCTCCCTTTTCTCCCCCCTCCCCTTGGCTGCCCCGGTGCGCCGCGCGCAGAGCACGTGGCGTGCTGGCACGGGGCTCAGCACACAGACGGAGCACGTGCGCGACGAGAAAACAAAACTCGGCGGCGAGCGGAGGGGGGGGAAGCGGGAAGGAGAAGGCCTTCTCGGAAGGGAGGGAGGGGGGAATTGAGAAGGAGAAGAGGGGGAGTGAGAAGGAGAAGAGGAGAAGGAGAAGGAGAAGACCTTCTCTGAGAAGGGGCAAGCGAGGGGGGAAGCGGGAAGGAGTGGGCCTTCTCGGAAGGCGGCGGGGCTCCTCGGGAGGCCTCCGGCCTTCTGAGATATGCTCTGTGCCTTCGGGGAGGGCTTAGGGTACCTCGAAGGCCAGGGGACTTCCGAGCCTTCTGAGAGGGCCCGCCCCTCCTCACTTCCCCCCGGGCTCACCGCTGACAAACGGGTCTTGCGCGAGATGACGTAGCCACCTTACGCGGTTGCTTACCCGGGCCGCCAGCGCGTCACACCGCGTGGGGAGCGAGGGCGCTTACGCGCGACCTTACGCGGACAGTCTGTGCGCGAATGTCGGCGCAATCGACCCTGTTTGTTCGCGTCGCTCACGTGGGTCTGGCGCGATGCGTTCGCCAAAACGTGGGCCAACACGTGCCGGGCGAACAAAAGAAACGTGTTAACACGGACGTTCTGAACACGGTGCGTGCTGTGTGTCAGCACGGGCGCATCAGTGCAGCTGAGTCCCTCCCCTCCTCCCCCCTTGCGTCGCGCCCCCCCCCCCCACCTCCCCTCGGGGCCACCCTCTGGGCTCCCCTTGGGCCGCTCCCGTCGTCGCGCTCATCGTGACCGCAAGCTGCTCGGGTGCTCCTGCCTCCGGCCTCCTCCCTCCCACCATGCTCCCTCCCGCCTCCCCCTCCCGTCGTGGGGCCTCCCTCGCTCCCCCTCCCTCCCTCCTCCCTCCTCGCCCTCCCTTCCTCCCCCCGATCCGGTCGCTGGTGCCCCCGCCCTCCCTGGGGCCCCCCGCCGTCGTCACTCTCGTCGCTGTACGAGCTCGCTGCGCCCGTCGTTTCCGTCCTCCTCCTCCTCCTCCTCCTCCTCCTTCTCCTCCTCCCTCCTCCTCCTCCTCCCTCTCCTCCTCCTTCCTCCTCCTCCTCCTGCTCCTCCTCCTCCTCCTCCGCATCTGCCCCTGCCTCCTCCTCCGCCTCCTCCTCCTCCTCCTCGCTGGAGCGCAATCGAATCGGAGCCGCGTGGACCCGGAATCAAAACAAATCGACGCTGCGCCAGCTCGAGTGCACTCGAAATCGGAAACGTGCATCAGAGTGTTGGCACCGGGACGGCTCGAATGGGAAACCTGAGACACAGTAATTCGGATTGGCCAGGTGGAGTCGGAACGCGCCATGTGAGAGGCCACGAACGCGGAAAAAGCTCGGGACCGTTTGCCCTCGGGATCCCTTTTCTGTATTTTTCTGTCGCCGCTAAGGGTAAACAGCTGACTTCTCCGTCCCAGATCCGTCCCAGATGGAGGGGGGGGCACAGGCATGCTTCTGGCAGCCAATGGTGTAGCACACAGCACAGCAGAAGGTTGGAGGCGGTCGGGGGCTCTGAACTGGCTGGGGCACCAGAGAGGCCGTCAAGAGCCTGTTTTTCCCAACCATCCTGTGGTGTTGGGTCCTCGTTTTGAAGAGACGGTGCCCCGCGTTCTCCTTCCCTCCTTCCTCCCGCTGCCTCCTCCCCCCTCCCATCATCATGGCCCCACAGGGAGCTCCACCGAAGGCCCCAGTGCCGCCGCCCGCATGCGTCCCCCACACCCATGTCGGCACACCCCTCACACGCTTCGTTGCCCCACAGGGAGCTCCACCGAAGGCCCCAGTGGCCGCGGCCGCATACGTCACCCACACACATTTCGGCACACCCCTCACACGTTTCGTGGCCCCATAGGGAGCTCCACCGAAGGCCCCAGTGCCCGCGGCCGCATGCATCACCCACACCCATTTCGGCCAACCCCTCACACGCTTCGTGGCCCCATGGGGAGCTCCACCGAAGGCCCCAGTGCCCGCGGCCGCATGCGTCACCCACACCCAATTCGGCACACCCCTCACACGTTTCGTGGCCCCATAGGGAGCTCCACCGAAGGCCTCAGTGCCGCCGCCCGCATGCGTCACCCCCACCCATTTCGGCACACCCCTCACACGCTTCGTGGCTCCATAGGGAGCTCCACCGAAGGCCCCAGTGCCCGCGCCCGCATGCGTCACCCACACCCATTTCGGCACACCCCTCACACGCTTCGTGGCTCCATAGGGAGCTCCGCCGAAGGCCCCAGTGCCCGCGCCCGCATGCGTCACCCACACCCATTTCGGCACACCCCTCACACGTTTCGTGGCTCCATAGGGAGCTCCGCCGAAGGCCCCAGTGCCCGCGCCCGCATGCGTCACCCACACCCATTTCGGCACACCCCTCACACGTTTCGTGGCTCCATAGGGAGCTCCACCGAAGGCCCCAGTGCCCGCGCCCGCATGCGTCACCCACACCCATTTCGGCACACCCCTCACACGTTTCGTGGCTCCATAGGGAGCTCCGCCGAAGGCCCCAGTGCCCGCGCCCGCATGCGTCACCCACACCCATTTCGGCACACCCCTCACACGTTTCGTGGCTCCATAGGGAGCTCCACCGAAGGCCCCAGTGCCCGCGCCCGCATGCGTCACCCACACCCATTTCGGCACACCCCTCACACGTTTCGTGGCTCCATAGGGAGCTCCACCGAAGGCCCCAGTGCCCGCGCCCGCATGCGTCACCCACACCCATTTCGGCACACCCCTCACACGTTTCGTGGCTCCATAGGGAGCTCCACCGAAGGCCCCAGTGCCCGCGCCCGCATGCGTCACCCACACCCATTTCGGCACACCCCTCACACGTTTCGTGGCTCCATAGGGAGCTCCACCGAAGGCCCCAGTGCCCGCGCCCGCATGCGTCACCCACACCCATTTCGGCACACCCCTCACACGTTTCGTGGCTCCATAGGGAGCTCCACCGAAGGCCCCAGTGCCCGCGCCCGCATGCGTCACCCACACTCAACGCACACGTCACACCCTCCGTGGTGGCCCCATAGGGAGCCCCACCGAAGGCCCCAGTGCTGCCGCCCGCATGCGTCCCGCACACCCAATTCGGCACACCCCTCACACGTTTCGTGGCCCCATAGGGAGCCCCACCGAAGGCCCCAGTGCTGCCGCCCGCATGCGTCACGCACACCCAATTCGGCACACCCCTCACACGTTTCGTGGCCCCATAGGGAGACCGAAGGCCCCAGTGCTGCCGCCCGCATGCGTCACGCACATTCGGCACACCCCTCACACGTTTCGTGGCCCCATAGCTCCACCGAAGGCCTCAGTGGCGGCGCTCACATGCGCATGCGTCCCGCGCACCCATTTCGGCACATCCCTGACAGGCTTCGTGGCCCCATCATCCACCGGAGGCCCCAGTGGCGGCGCTCACATGCGTCACCCACACCCACCCAATTCGGCACACCCCTCACACGTTTCGTGGCCCCATAGGGAGCTCCACCGAAGGCCCCAGCGGCCGCGCTCACATGCGTCCCCGCCACCCATCCCGGCACGCCCCTCACAACAACAGGTTTCGTGGCCCCATAGGGAGCTCCACCGAAGGCGCTCACATGCGTCCCCGCCGCACATCCCAGTACACCCCTCACGCGCTTCGTGGCCCCATAGGGAGCTCCACCGAAGGCCCCAGTAGCGGCGCTTACATGCGTCTCCGCCACCCATCCCGCCCCCCCCCCCCGCATCAGCATCATGTTTCGGGGACCCATAGGGAGCTCCACTGGAGGCCCCAGTGGCGGCCCGCACATGCGTTTCCGCCACCCATGTCGGCACGCCCCGCGAGTGTTTCATGTCCCCATAGGGAGCTTCGCCGAATGCCCCAGTGGCACCCATCTCGGCACACCCCTCACACGTTCCGTAGTCCTATGGGGAGTTCCATTGAAGATGAAACCCGCAGCTGCGGTACTGACAACTGCATATGGTTGGGTTCTTCGCCAGGCTATAATTTTTTTTTAGACTCTGGCAAGTTTACTTGCATGGACGGGGGGGGGGGGGCTGAGCCTGAAGCAAGCCCGGGGGGGGGGCGCGGAAATCACGCAAGTCGAAAGGCACTTGCACGCTAGTATTCGCTTGAAGAGGGGCGAAGGGGGGGGGGGGGGGCGAACGCCATGCAAGTAAACTTGCCTGAATCCAAAAAAACAGGCTCCAAGAGGGGGGGAAGAAAGCCGCATTCGTTCAAAGTCGGTCCCCGGACCCCTCCCAGGATCCACCTGGCGCAGTGCTTCACCCCAGACTTGTGCTTGACGGCCCTGGGGCCCGAGAACGGCCCCCTGGAGGAGGACGAGGAGGAGGAGGAGTAGGAGGATGAGGAGGCCGAACGCTGCGAAAAGCCTTCCCGGACCCTGCCCCCCCCTCCTGCTGGCCGGAACCCGCGTGCCGGGTCAGCCCGGACCCCCCCGCCGGCTCCAAGCAGAAGGACCCCTTTTCCTCCTGGTGAGCTCCCTCAGCTGGCGCCTCTGCGCCTCCTCGCCGTCGGGCAGATGGCGCACGTAGCAGTCCCTCGCCTCCAGGTGGAACGAGGGCGGCACGACGATGCCCCCCCCGAACCTGACCGCCGGGAAGTCTTTCAGGTGGTCGTACTTGCGGAAGAGGCGGTCGTGATGCGTGGCGGGGTAGTGGAGCACCTTCGCGCCGGCCACGACCTCTTGAGGAACAAAGGAACGCGCGGATTTCTAGGATCGGTGCAAGACGCGCCAGGGGTGGCGCTGGAGGCGCCGCCAGGGCGGCCGAACACCGATCCAACAATTAATCGCGGATCTCCGACAATTTATGCTTATGCGTTTCTTCTCTCCTCTGAAGAGAATAATCTGGGAATCTCTGAGGGCATGCAGATCTGGGCGATGGCTCGCGGTCGTTCCGGAGCGCTCCAGAACGCTCTGAGAGCGTTCTGATAGACTTATCCCCAAACATGGGTCCCCGACCCGTTCCCTGGAACCCGTTTGCCATCCCGAATCGTTTTTGACGGTTTCGGGGCCTGGCAAGGCCCCCCACCAGGCTCCGAAAACGAAGAACAGCTCGTGATTCTTTCATGACCCAAGGGGGTCAAAATCGTCACGTTATGATGCATTCTCGGGGGACCTTGGCTGTCCAGTCGCGGCCCTATCCGCGTCGAATCCATGTCGGCCTCGTCGGATCCGTGTCGACTCCGCGTCGAATCCACGTCGACTCCACGCCAAATCCGCGTCGAGTCTTTTATCGAGCCCGCGCCGGGCACAAGAAAAGACACCCATCTGGGGACAGGCGAGGCCCCCCGAAGATGCAACGTACGTCATCCTAGGCCTGCCACTCGAACCTCGTCGCTCTGTGGGCGCACAAACCCGAGGTCCATCGTGAGCAGCTCGCTCTCGGGGTACGTCGACCATGCGGCCCCGCAGCCGCGCAGCCGCTCCACCTCCCGAGGCCTCTCCCCAACCGGGCTCCAGGAGGAAGGATCGCGCCGCGTCGCCGATGTGCCGCTGACGCATCGGCAACGTCGGCGATGTATCCCAACACAGCCGTACGTGCGATCAAGAAAACTATAGTTTAAAAGACCTGGGCGAACTTTCTAGAAGTTTCTTTGGACATTCCTGGGCCAGCTGCTTCTGCTAAGGCTGAAGGGACGAACGTGCTTGAGGAACTGTGCCAACTTTCTGGCAAATGGGTTAATCAACGCTGGCCCAACTTGTCGGGGGCAACTGTGTTCATCAAATGCTGGACCATATACGCTCGCGCATTGAAAAAAATAAGGATGGCATGTGATTTCTAGATTTTCTGCATCTGGGACCCCAACGACTCAGGATGAAAAACCGATCTCGGGGAATGGTGCGAGACCTCTGGGTGTCGACGCCATGAAAACATCATGACGTCGGGGGTCTGGGACACCAGCGATGCAATTGGCGCCGTCGGCGTGAAGAACATCGGGTTCCACATCGAGCCACATCGCCGATGCATCGGCGATGCGGCGCGGTCCTCCAACCCCATCTACTCGGACCCCATCCTGGGAAATCGAAAAGTACTGATAAAGCTACTCCCTGGACCTCTCCCAGGGTGCGTTCTAGCTGGAATTTCGGGGCGAATCCAGCGGTGGCGACGAGGGCATCCCAGGGGGGCTCACAAAGAAGGCGAAAACGAGGGAAGGGCAGCGACATCAGCACCTCTTCCTCCTCGGGCCATCTACTCGGACCCCACCTGGGATGCGGAGCGGTCCTCCGACCCCATCTGGTCGATTTCCGCTTGTCAGGAGAGGCGAAGTCCAGACGGAATCAGCCCAAACAAAGACCGAGCATTCCGTATGGACTATAGCCCGCGTGTGCGTAACATCCCCTCAGGAGAGGCCAAATCTAGACGAAGTGAGTCCAGCCACAGACCGACGACTCCGTATGACCTTATTCCGCAAGGACTTAGCATCCTCCGAGCTTGGGAGGCAGGAGAGCCCAGAATCAAATCGAAAAGTCGGACCTGCAATCGAAATTAATCGAATCGGCGGAAATCAGCAACCGAGTCAGGAAAACTCGAATCGGCGGAAATCGGCAGGCTACAGACTCTGAAACATTTCTCCTTACAAACAACACCCCAAGAACAACCGACAGACAAACGAAACCTTCTGCACCCGACCCCGTTCGCCTTGCCGAACGTGTGGTCCAACCACCCCGCCAGAAAATTCTAAACGGGCTCGCGCCGGGAGGGGGCCCCTGGGTGGATCCACTCCTTTAATTTGAATTTTATTGAGGAAAGTGGGTGGAGCCTGGTTTGGGCGATTCTGCTTGTGACGTCCTCAAAATCTGCCTGGTTTGGGCCCTGGTTTGGCCTGGGTTTGCTCGGTTGGGCGCCGCAAGCCGCTGAGACATCCTCCAAATTTGCCTTGTGTGGCCCCTGGTCTGGCCTGGTTTGGGCCCGGTTTCCCTTGGGCCGTCCCTATAAGTTTGTTTGGTTTGGCGCGGGCCCGGTTTTACCTGAGACGTCCTCACGATTTGCCTGGTTTGGCCTGGTTCGGGCTTGGTTTTGCATGAAGCGTCATTACACTTTGGCTGGTTTGGTGTGGTTTGGGCTTGGTTTTGCTTGAGACGACTTCGCAATTTGCTGGTTTGGCCTGGTTTGGGCCCGGTTTCGCTTGAGACGTCCTGCAATTTGCCTGGTTTGGGCCCGGTTTCGCTTGAGACGTCCTCGCAATTTGCCTGGTTTGGCCTAGTTTGGGCCCCGTTTCGCCTGAGACGTCCTGGCAAATTGCCTGGTTTGGCATGGTTCCGCATTTTTTTCGCCTGAGACGTCCTCGCAAATTGCTTGGTTGGGCCTGGTTTGGCTTCTTCTTCTTCTTCTTCTTCTTCGCCTGAGACGTCCTTGCAATGTGCAAGGTTTGGCCCTGGTTTCGGCGAAACTCTTGCAACGCCCCTGGTTCGACCTTGGCACGCTGCGCGCATAGCAATATCCGCAAATTGCCCCGTCTCGGGCGCGGGCATGCCCCGACTACATCTTACACGTTCGCATTCTCCTCCTCCTGCTCCTCCTCCTCCGTCATCGATGACACGTTCGGGAAAATCTGCACGTGTTGCAACTCCTGCTCGAAACCGAATCCAAGATGTAAAGCACGACTATACTTGAATAGTTGCGCCTGTTGTCACTTTGGCCCCGGTTTCTGTTGTAAAAACCATACACGTTCATTGGGTGTCTCCTCGTTTGTTCATTGGGTCTCTCCTAGTTACGTATGCTTTCCGATTTTCTCCCCGGGGTCGCATCAGAGAAAAACACGATTTCACAGAAAATGCCGGAACCCAGAGAACTGGTCAAAAACATAATTGTTTTCCACCAGGAACTGGGGTGGATCAGGCGGCCCAAGAACAAGTAGCCCAAACGGGCTGTTCCTTTTCAAACATGTGTTCGTCAGGGGGTGACAGCAGTATGTTGCCCCCCCCCAGAGGGGGTGGCGTCGTCTCCCCCAGCACGTCCCCCTCCCGAAAGGGGGAAGCGCAGCCCTGGGGCCTCTCCTTGCCTAAGTGAGAGTGGTCGGCCAGACCGAGACACTAGCCAGCGATGAGGCGAGAACCAGGGAGTGGCCGGCGTTCGGGCGAGAGCGCACGTCAACGTCGTCGTAGTCGTCGTCGTGGTCGTCGAAATCATCATCGTCGTCGTCGTCGGCGGCGTCGTCGTGGGAGGGGCCGACGCTCCGAGACACATTATATTTTGTCACATGGTGCAGGGAAATGAAGGAAACTATTCTTTCACACGCGTGGTGGGCGCATACATTCGGGACGTTGTGACCCCTAGGCGCTCCCAAGACACATTGGGTGTCGTCGATGTGTGTATGACAATGAGCTGACATTTCACCCACGTCGTGGGTGCAAATACGCGAAACAGGACGGTGTGTACTGAACACGCACATACTGACCCACATTCCGCACTGGTGTGCTACAATATAACCAGGGCGGTGGGTGTGGACATCCGCGGCGCAGTGTGTTCGGCCAGTCGCTGCACCACATAGTGCAACCATCGCTCACACAAATCCCCCTGTTATGCGACATTGGACCATGTGGCGGCGTGAGGAGAAAAATCTTCCCGAGCCTGTAGTATGCCTCCAATGAGAAATCGGAGCCCAACTCAGAACCCCAGGTCGAACCGAGTCGGAATCGGAAGCCATCGAAGTTTGAATCGAATCGAGTCGGAGGAGTCGAAACGAGCCCTGCTTGGGAGGCCTGGAACCTCGCCCGTGGCGTCACGAACCAGCAGGTGCACCGACCGGGGCGCAAAGGGCTCCCCGTCGCGGCGGACCCGGGCCGCGCTCTTGCCGTTGTCGTAGTAGAGGAAGTAAGTCCCCGCCTGGGTTCTCCTCGTGCGCGGCGCGCTCAGAGAGTAGGGGGGAGGGGGGGGGTGGAGGGAAAAGGGGGCAACAGGAAGAGGAGGAGGAGGAGGAGGAGCAGGGGGAGGAGGAGGAGGAGAAGGAGGATGAGGAGGAAGAGGACGACTGTAATTCAAAGAGTCATCAACGATATTGGAATCAACCCTACCTCCGGGCTCCCTCTTCATAGGCCACGGGCTAATTTCCACTCAGGGAAGTGCCCCGTTGGAAGACAATCGTTGGACGATCGTGCAGCGTGCAAAAACACCATTCTTGGAACTTCACCGCCGTGGATCATCTAGATTGCTGCGTCTTGACGATCCTGAATCGTGGCAGAACGCCTTCCTTGGACTTCCACACCGCGAGTCAACGTGACCGTTGTGCCCTGACAGTCCTGAATTGCTCCCAATTGCAATATCTTGTACGTGAACCATGGGAGCCCGTGACACTCTTGCAAAGTCTTAGCATGAATGCGCGCGACGCTACGGCAAGAATCACATTTTGAAAAGGAGCCGTCACCGATCCGCGAAAATCTTTGATGTTGACAACGAGTGCGCGCGGCACTACGACATTCGGTGTGCGCGGCACTACGGCACTACGGCAAAACCGCACGCCCTCAGCACTTGAAATTCTCGCACAATGTATGGAAACGAATGTGCGCTGCGCCAAGGCGCAGGCCACATTTTGGAAACGGCTCGCTTTCCTTCTGCGAAACTGTTCTCACGGTTTAAGCTTCCTAATCATGAATGGTGGGGCGGTCTCAGACGAAAAACCTGGTCCGCTCTTCCCTCTCGCGTCGGGATGCGAGAGGGAAGAGCTGTGTATAAGGGGCAGTAATGGAGGGAGGAGTATCGAGGAGGAGGGGGGAGGAACGAGGAGGAGGGAGGAAGAGAAGGAGGAGGACCAGTGTGAACCCAAGAGCCATCAACGATGTTGAAATAAACCCTCCCTCCAGCTTCCTCTTCACAGGCCCCTACAACGGTTCATTTCGAGTGAGGGGGGTTGCCCCGTCGGAAGACAACCGTTTGAATACCCAAACGCATGCCAATCAATGTATCTCGGGATTCCAACGCCACGGGTCAACCTGACTGTTGCGTCTTGACGATCCCGCATCGTGCCAGAATGCCATTCCTGGGACTTCAACACCGCGAACCAACGTAACTGTTGCACCCGCATGATCTGGATTCCGTCTCAAACGCCATTTCTAGTACGTTCATCACGGGAATACGTGAAGCCGTTTGATTTTTTGAAACGAATGTGCGTGGCGCTAAAGCGAGAACCACATTTTGAAAAGGAGCCGCCCTCAACCCGCGAACCTCTTGCAAATGCTTAAAACGAAAGTGTATGGCGCTAAAGCGAGAACCGCATTTTTGAAAACCACCCACCCTCAATCCGTGAAGCTCCTTCAAGTTCTTAAAACGAATGCGCGCGGCGCGAAAGCGAGAGCCATGTTCTGAAAGCGACCCGCCCTCTATCCACGCAGCACTTGCAAATGTTAAAACCACAGCGCGCAGCGCAGAGGCGAGAATCGCACTGTTGAAAACCAGCCACCCTCCGTCCGTGAAGCTCTTTCCCAAGTGTTCACAACGAATGTGCGCGGCGCCAAGGCGATGACCACACGTTGAAGACGACCCGCCCTCAGTCCGTGGAGCTCTTTCTCCAATGTTCACAACGAATGTGCGCGACGCTACGGCAAGAATCACATTTTGAAAAGGAGCCGTCATCGATCCGCGAAAATCTTTGATGCTGACAACGAGTGCGCGCGGCACTACGACATTCGGTGTGCTCTTTCTCAAATGTTGACGACGACCCGCCCTCAGTCCGTGGAGCTCTTTCTCAAATGTTCACAACGAATGTGCGCGGCGCCGAGGCGATGACCACACGTTGAAGACGACCCGCCCTCCACCCGTGAAGCTCTTTCCCAAATGTTCACAACGAATGTGCGCGGCGCCGAGGCGATGACCACACGTCGAAGACGACCCGCCCTCCACCCGTGGAGCTGTTGCCAACGTTTGCGCCTCGGGGCCAGCAGCGGTGCGGAGGTCTGAAGCGACACGCCCGGCCCGCCCTGAACGCTCGCCTCGGGGTGGGACAGGAGGAACGTCATTACAAGCCAGAGGAACGGAGGAACGAAGGGGAGGATGAGGAGGAGGAGGAGGAGGAGGAGGAGGAGGAGGAGGGTGATAATGAGGAGGAGGAGGGGGAGGAGGAGGAGGAGGAGGAGGAGGAAACGGAGGAGGAATGAGGAGCGAGGAGGAGGAGGGGGGAGGGTGTTGCTCGCGCAGGGGAAGGCCCTGGGCTCCCTCGACGCGAGGGGGGGGGGGAGGGAGGGCCATAAGATCTGGTTAAGGTCGAGCGCCTCCCCGTCCCCCCTCCCCCCGCGGTGCGCGCCGTGGGTCCTCGCCCAGCGCTGCATGCCCCGCTCGCCCAGGGGCGTCTTCGGCACGCGGCCCGCGGGGACCTCTCGGCGCCCGCGGCTCGATCGGAAGGGCGCGCGGCCGCTGTCGTGCCGGAGCCGGCTGGGGGTCCGCGGCAGGACCAGGCAAGCGCGCACCACTGCTCGCAGAATAGCTACCAGCAAATGGCCTGGATCCGCCGCGGGGGATCTACGGTACATTTCCTCGAAGCCAGCATCTGTTTTTTTTTTCCGAGTAGCGGAACGCGCTGGATGGAGAACGAAGCCAGGACGAGGATACATTTGCTTGACCCAAAAGTTGGTCCAGCTGAACAGGGGTGGTGCAATAGGTTTGAGGCAGTCGTACTGCAAATGTATTGCGCCAGAGAATTGTAGCATTTTGTTGCAGCTGACGTAGTGCACGCGAAAACCCAGCAATACATGTGCGAACCATAATGTATTTATTACACGCCCCAGTTCTACTGCAACCCCACAACCCTGTTGCACCAAATCTATTGCAACACCCCTTTGTCGCTGGACCCCCTTGTGGGTCAGCCAAAATACAATCGGGTGATAAATCGAGAATCTCTGAGATCCGGCGGCTCTGGAGGATGTCGCGGGCGGGGCGGCCTTCTCAGAGCGTGCCGGAACGATCTGAGAGCGTTCCAGAACTTGAGCTTTACGCATCCTCGTCCTGGCCCCGTCCGATCTGGTGGCCCAGCCCAGCACTGGGTCAGGCCAGCAGGAGGGGGGCCGGGGAGAAGATTCCGAGGTTCTCGGCGATGGTTCTGCACATGTTTCTACCTTCGGGGGGGGGGTCCGTTCTCGGGCCCTGGGACCGTCCAAAGCGGATCCGAGGCGAGAAGCTGCACCAGATGGACCCTCGACCCCGGGAGGGGTCCAGGGGCCGATTCTGAGCGGACTTGAACTCATTTCCCCTCCTCGCCGACGGCGACGATAGGGGCGAATAGCCCCGGGGCGGGCATTACACGCATTCGCCCGGGAGCCTCGTCGAAGACATAGATCACCGGCACCCCTGGATACATGTATTGCTCACCCCGTGGCTATTCGCCCCTGTCGCCGCCTCCGACTTTTTCTGTAGCCCCAGCCAGGTCAGCCCCCCCCGGCCGCCTCCAACCTTCGTGAGCGCCTTCTGCTTGTGCTCTCTCCGCGAGGGATGCGGGCGGGAATTTTCTGCTCAGCGCGTCGCCGAGGAGGCCCTGGCGACACGCCATGCCCTGCGAGCGGATAGCGTGTCGCTCTGCTCCGCGGAGCGGTAGGCCCGGCAAGGCTCGGGGCGCTGGCGCTGGGGGCCGGTAAATGGGCAGCGTGTCGCGCCGGAGCGTGGTGCGCCAGAACCGGCGGAGCGACACGCTAAACAACGTATCCTGGCCGTACAGTAGACACAGGCGGTACCACATCTTGTTATAAGAAATCGTGGGGCTCAGTCTTCGTCGAGTGTCGAGCCTCGTGAGGTGCCCCAGCCCTCTGTGAGCCACCAGGGGCATCAGGGGACAAAAACTGCCGTGGGGCACCTTTTGACATGCCTACTCGACTGGAGGCCATCGAAGTCCGCACAGCTCCGCAGAGCGGCTCGTATCGCTGCGAGCGGAGCAAGTGGATCCATCGATGTTGGCCGCGCGCGTGCAAGGGTGTGGCGCAAGGGGGGGGGGGGGGGGGGGGGCCTTCTAAGAAGGCAGGGGGGGGCTTCTTAGAAGGCAGGGTCCTTCTTAGAAGGCCCCCCCCGCCACCGGCAAGGCACGCACACCGAACACGAAATCGGCACGTCCGGAGGACCGCCGAGCCTTGAACAGGGTGACGTCGAGGAAGGGCGCCAGGGTGTGGTCCTCGGGCACCGCCTCGAAGTTCTCGTAGAGGCACAGCTCGCACCGCCCCTCCTCGAGGTGCCTCAGGTGCGCCTGAAGCCCGTGCGCGGGTGGCACGAAGAGCTCGTCGTGGTCGAGGTGGAAGAGCCAGTCCACTGCCTCGGGACTCCCTGGGGCGGCGAGCGTGCACCTGCGCACGCAGTGGGCAATGTTGAGCAGCTGGCGACACATCCGGTCGTCAGCAAACTCGGCCAGGTCCCCCCAGCTCCGCAGAGATCTCCACTCCGACCGCAGCCCTGGCCCGCTGCACACGACGCTCAGGAACTCGGCGCTGTAAATCCCGAGCGCCTCCTCGATTGCGCTGGCGTCCTCGACGGGATCGTCGAAGTAGAGGAAGAGATGCGCGAACCCAATGATCCGGAACCTTGGCATAAGGGAGCCGGTTCCCGAGGCGAGCGGGTCCTGGACAGCGCTCGGGCCTTCCCCCGCGGGGCCTCGGCGACGTCGAAAACGCGGGGAGAAACTCAAGGACCCTTGTCTCTCAGAGCCCTTCTTCCTCATCATCACTATACGTGAGCATGTTGGCTTTCTGTTGTTAGCAATCACATATGTGTATACATGTATATTTGAATATTTATATATATATATACATATTTATATATATGTATAATTTCATACATTATGTTTCGTTATATCTATATATGAATATGTATGTATTAGTATGTTTCGTTCTCTATATTAATATCTGAACTTCTACATGTGGCCGAAGGTTCGGGGAAGGATTTGGGTGACCCCCAAAAGGGTCCAGCTGCAAGGGGGTGGTGCAATCGATCTCAAGTAATGCAAGTAGCGCATTGCGCGCGAAAATACAGCAATGCAGTTGCGCCCCGAAATGTATTGCATGCCCCAAATGTATTGCAACCCCACAAATCGATTGCACCAGATCTATTGCACCACCTCCTTGTCGCTGGACCCCCCTTGGGTCAACCCGGAAGGAGGGGTCTGGGTCTGGGCGGATCTGCATGTGCCAGTCGCTCAAGCAGACTGGGGGGGGTCCTGAGCAGTCGCCACAGGCAGCCGCAAGACGCAGCCGCGATCTGGTCCGTGGGGGGGGGGCCAGGAGCCGGCGCCGCTCGGCGCAAGAGTGCGGGTGGGGCATGGGATATCAGGAACCTTTTTAGGTAAGGAGCCCAGGGTCTGTGAGCTGGCAGAGCACCGATGGAGGCTTGGCCACGGATGCCACCGCCGCCCTCAGCAGGCAAGGGATCCTCCAGGGTCTGCAGGGCCTCGTGGGCACGGAGGCCCAGACCGCAGCTTCCCGGCGGGCAGGTCTCGGCCTCCAGAGGCCTGGAGGCCTGGAAGCACCCGAGGCCCCCGGCAATTCCCCAGGAGGCCTCTGGAGGCCTCGGGGACCCCGAGAAGGGCCAGCAGCCTCCCAAAACCGTTCCCCCCCCAGCTGAGAAGTCACCCCCACAGAGGGCCCCAGCAGTGACAACTCCCTGATGGCAGGTTTTGTTTGAAGAATTGTAGCGTTCTCGCCTTTTCGGGCTTCTAACGCCCCAAGTCGGCCCAAGAGGCCCCAAAGATTGCCCCAAGAGGGCCCAAGATGGCCCCCTAAGAGGTTCCCAAGACGGCGCTGGAGGGCGCCAAGACCGCCAGGAAGCCCCCGGGAGGGCCCCAAGATGGCCCAAGAAGCGGAACCCGAACTGATATTTCGAGCCTGCCTCCAAAAAGATGGGCCCCGAGACCGCCACCAGGCCCCCAAGAGGCCCCCAGATGCTCCCGCGATGCCCCCAAGAAGCCGACAGAGGCATCAAACGTGCTTCCAACGAGGCCCGGACCCCAAACGGACATGCGGGAGGCCGCTGGCCCACAACCCGGGCGTGCTGGCGGGAGGGGGCCGAAAGCCCCTGCGGTGGGGAACGTTTGCACGGCGCTTCGCCCCGACGGCCCCGGCGGCACGGCTGCGCCCGGCGATGCGGCAGCGTGCCGCTCCGCCCCGCGGGGCGGGAGGCCCGGAGAAGCTCGGGGCGTGGACGCTCGGGAGCGGAGGCCAGTCCACAAGAGACCAGTCCACAAGATACCCAACCCTGAAACCCCAGGACGCCCATGGTTTTTTTTGGGGGGGGGAGCGCCACGCTTCCCACAGCACAGCCACATCGACGCCCAGGAAACCCAGGGCACCCTGGAGGCAAGCAGGGCTTTTCTTGGCATGGGCCTCTCCGCTGTATACCAAGTGAGCAGTTTCTTTTTCGGCGTGTCGACATTGGGCAGAGACGGGGGGGGTTCTAGGGGGGGTTCTGGATCCGGACCTCTGCTTAGCGCGACTGCTTGCGACAGTGCGTCCTATGAGACTCCACCTGCTCGAAACAGGCGCCCAAAACAGGGGGGGAGGGGGGGGGGGGGCGAGAGCCCGCGCCGATCAGCAAAACAATGCCCTCGGTTTTCGGGCCGTCGCTCGGCTCTTCGGCGGCCGCCCAGGAAGACCCGGGCACACTCTCTCGGCCAGCCGCGGCTGCTGGAAGCCTTCCAGAGGCTGGACAGCCGCCGTTTCTGGCTGGGTGGAAGCCCTCCCGAGGCTGGGTGTTTCTTGGCATGGGTCTCCGCCGCATGCCAAGAGTTCTCGACCGTAGATCCGCCGCACCCTCCCGCATGCAACGGGGGCGCCTGGCGTGCCCGAACTCCGGGGAAGGAGGAGGAGGAGGAAGAGGAGGAGGAGGAGGAGGAGAGGAAGAAGAGGAGGAGCAGGAGGAGGAGGGGACGGAGGAGGAGGAGAAGAAGGGGAAGGAGGAGGAGGAGGAGGAGCAGGGAGGAAGGGGAGAGGAGCAGGAGGAGGAGGCAGGAGAGGAGGAGGAGGAGGAGGAGGAGGAGGAGGAGGAGGGGAGGAGTGAGCAGGATGGAGGGGAGAGGATGGCTGGAGAAGGAGGAGGAGGAGGAGGGGGACCGCAGACCCGCCGCCCCCTCCCGCATGCAACCGGGGCGCCTGGCGTGCCTGATCTCCGGGCAGATCTCGTGCCCTTCCCCCTAAAGGTTTCCCGGCGAGGCCTCGGCCGCTCTCGCCAGCTGCTCAGGATGGCCTCCATCCTCCTCCCTCCTCTTACCTCCTCCTCCTCCTCTTCTTCTTCTTCTTCTTCTTCTTCCTTCATAGTCTTTCTTCTTTCTTCATGTCTTCTCTTCTTATTCTTCCTACTTCTTCTACCTCCTCTCCTCCTCCTCCTCCTCCTCCTCCCCCTCCTCCACCCTCCCCCCTCCCCCTCCCCTTCCTCTCTTCCCTCTCTCCTCCTCCTCCTCCTCCCCCTCCCCCTCCTCCCACTTCCTCCTCCTCCTCTCCTTCCTCCTCCTCCTCCTCCTCCTCTTCCTCCTCCTGCTCCTCCTCCTCCTCCTCCTCCTGCTCCTCCTCCTCCTCCTCTTCCTCTCGCCGAACGTGGCGTTTTGTTTCCCATCCAGATGGCCCCTGCAGGGCCTCCAAGACGGCCAAGGTGTCATGTCTCGAATCCGTGGCCTCTCTTACCGCCCCGGGGACGGGGGCGAGTGGGGGGCCAGACTGCAGCACCTACGATTATGAATAATCTTTCCCCCAGCCCCGCTGAGCCCAGTTCGAGGGAGCAATGGGAGAGCCACTGGAAAGACGGCTAAGATGGCAGATGTTTTGTTGTGTTTACGTTTGATACATGGAGCAGGAGTAGGGGGCGGACCACTGCAAGTGACGAAAGCGGCAGGACAAGTGTGAAACCATAGAACGGGCCTCCTCGACGAAACGATGAACCAAATACATGTGGTGACCAAGGTGGCCGAATACGGCATCCAACATTTCCCTAAAGACTGCTACGACGGACAATGTAGCCCCAAGATGGCCCCAATATTGCCCAAGAGGCTCCGAGGACGCCCCAAAGAAGGCACAAGAGGTTCCCAAGGGGACCCATGAGAGCCCGACAAGGCCAACATCATCGATGGTCGAATGGGTTTTGAATGATTTGAGCGTTCGCGCCTTTGCGGGCTTCCGGCGGCCCAAGACGGCTCAAGAGGCGCCCAATATAGCCCCAAGATGGCCCAGGCGGTCTCCAGGACAACCAACAAAAACTTCAAAGACGGCACCAGGACGGTCAAAGAGCCCCAAGATGGCCCCCGAAGGCGTCACACAGCCCAAGATACCACTAAGATGGTCCAGTAAGCCGCCCCGATAGGTCCCCAAGAGGCCTCCTCCTCCTGTTCCTTCGTGTTCTCCTTCTTCTTTCTCTCCTCCTCCTCCTCCTCCTCCTCCTCCTCCTCCTCCTGCTGGTTTCCTCATGCCCCTCGTCCTTTTTTTAGCGTCCCCTCAGCGGTGTCCACAGCGGCTGTGAGAACACATCGTCCAAAACCGTACCAGACTTCGGCCCCACGTTTGGCCACACTGGTGCTGCCAACAGGGCAGGCGGCGGCCGTGGTTCGCCGCGGGCGTGCTCGACAACTACGTCCCCTCACGACGTGAGTGGAGGCCTCCCAAGTGGGGTCCGAGCCGATGGGGTCGGAGGACCGCGCCGCATACCATATGCGTTGCGAATTGCGAGTAGAATGGTCGGAAGAGCAAGAGGTCCAGTACCGATACCGCTGCCCTTCCCTCGGTTTCGCCTGTTTGGGGGCCTCCCGAGAGGCCCTCGTCGCCACCGCTGGATTCGCCTCGAAATTCTAATCAGAACGCACCCCGGGAGAGATCCAGGGAGTCGCTCTATCGGTACCTCGTGGTTTCCCAAGGATGGGGTCCGAGCACATGGGGTCGGAGGACAGCGCCGCATCGTCAATGCATCACCGGTACAACTGCGATGCATCGAAGACGTTGGCGATGCAACTGGCTCCGCCGGCGTGGAGAAGATCGGGCTCCCCATCGAGCCGCATCGCCGATGCATCGGCGGTGTGGCGCGATCCTCCGACACCATTTTCGGCTGGACCTAGGGCAGAATACCATCCTTCAAGAACATGAGACCCTCCGCCAGCCAAAACACTCCGCACCATGAGGTCACTCGAGAGTGCCCTCCTCGGGATGCACCAGAGCACCCAACAAACACACGAGAAACATCAGGGCACCCTCCCTGGACCGACCTCGATGGTATACCTCGGTCCGACCGCACTCGGACCCGATCGGGGAGGTCCGGAGCGATGGGCTCAGAGCTTCTCGCGGCGAGGAACCACTCCGCCCAGACGAGCAGCTGGTCTCCCACGTCTCGGAGCGTCGACACCAGCGCAGCCCGTGACCCCCCCGCGGGCACCAGCGAGCCTGGAAGAAACACAAAGCTGCACGAACTAGATCGGCGTCAGGCGAGGGGGAGAAGTGAGAAGGATAGGGACTTCTCAGAAGGCGGCGGGACTTTTGAGAGGCCCTCGCGCCTTCTGAGAAGTTTTCTGTGTCCTCGGGAACTGCACAGGAAAAAACTTATCAGAAGGCCCCGAAACTTTCGAGCCTTCTGAGAAGGCCCGCCCTTTCTCGTTTCCCCGCGGGGCTCGCCGCCGACTAGAGGAACACACAGAATGCATAAACATATACTTTGGACGGCCCGCGCGGATTTCTTGGATCTGCGCTGGGCTCCCCGTTCTTGGCGCGCGGAGCGCGCCAGGGGCGACGCTGGAGGAGCCAGCCGCCGGTGGGGGCCCAGCACAGGGCCAGGAAATCCGGGCGGACCGTCGAAAGATTATACTCGTGCAATTTTTCGCTTCCCGACAGACACGACTTTCCGGAGCGCCGCTCGGATTTCCTGGGTCAGCGGCGGGCGCCCCCCCCGCCCTAGCGCACGGAGCGCCCTGGCGCCGCCAACGAGCACCTGCAGTGCCGATCCAACTCGAGCTTCCAGGACGGTGGCTGGAGCCAGGGTGGTCAAGCCAGTGTGTAAGGGCAGTCGGATTCATGAGCATTCGCTGGCCCAGTGGGCCAGAGAGAGGGGCAGCCATAATCCCTAGGGCGCGTCGGCGGCGAATGCAGCACTCAGGCGTTCGCGAAATCGTGCTGCATCCGGGAGTACCTGCACTCCTCCGTTTCCACAGACACGAGCGGCGCAGTAATGCAGTTGCTTTGCCAACTCCAGCCGTGGTCCCCCAACTCCCTGGACATGCTAAGATCTGCGGAGGAGGGGGAGGAGGAGGAGGTGGAGGAGGAGGAAGAGAAAGAGGAGGAGGAGGAGGAGGAGGAGGAAGAAGAAGAAGAAGGTTCGCAGTATTCCCAGCTCGCGAGCGCGGGGCGGCCCCTGGGGGGCCCCGGGCGCAACAAAAAGGTACCCCGGGCGACTCCCGCCGAGGGGCGCCCGGACCTCCTGGGGAGCGGTTTCCTTCGAGACCTTCCGCAGCGCTCCAGGGGCGCCCCTCCTCCTCCTCCTGCTCCTCCTCCTCCCCCTCCTCCTCTCCTCCTCCTCCTCCTCCTCCCCCTCCTCCTTCCCCCTCCTCCCCCTCCTCCTCCTCCTCCTCTCCTCTCTCCCTCCTCCTCTCCTCCTTCCCCCCCTCCCCTCACCCTCCCCCTCCCTTTCCCCTCCTCCTCCGCCTCCTCCTCCTCCTCCTCCTCCTCCTCCTCCTCCTCCTCCGTGCATAAAACAGGTCGGCTCTCGCCGATCTTGTTGGGTTTTGATTTGCAGGCGGTCGGCCCTCTGGCCGAGCAGTGCGATGCCACGGGTGGCCCACCCTCGGCACCCCTTCGGTCGGGAGCTCCCATCTGCCTCGCTGCGTGCCAGGCGCACGCGTGGGCAGCGCCTCGGAGCCTCCCATACCGTCTTGTCGCGGCTCTTGCGAATCAGCGCTCATCGACAAATTCACGCTGATTGATGCTAGATCGCCGCTGCCCGACGCCTAATCGGCGCGATCTCATCGACTCCCATACGCCAATCGACGCCATTCGACGCTAAAGACGGAACGGAGAGAGTATACAAGGCTCCCGTGATTTGCTACCGAGCCAACGGACCGCAAGGGAGACATTGTACAAAAAAACAGTGTGACTCACGAGAACAGGAGTCCAAACATCAAGAGCCACCATGTCGCAACAACCAAATTGTTTTCAGCGGGGCGCAAGTCCTGCGTGGACAGCCCGGGTCATCGGCCAACCACCCTGCAACTTACTGCATGGTGGTTCGGCTGGAAGGGGTAGTATCTCTAACAGCGCAAGCACTCAGCAGTGACCAACATCGCACTAACCGCCAAGTCGTTCGTGTCAACGGTTCAACAAATCCGCGCGGACCTCCGAATGGTTCGGTTCATGCGGGTGGCGATGGTATGTTTGGGAAGATCACCGTTTAGGTTTATGCAGGTGGCGATGGTATATTGGGGAGGGTATTGATGTTGTGGATGATGATGATGATGTTGATGGCCGATGAGGCTAATGATGCTGATGGCGATACTCGATGATGGTGCTGCTGATGCTGATTATACGAATTAACAGATGCTGCTGATGCTGATGCTGATGACGATGCTGCTGATGATGAAGATGACCAATAATACTAGCCGGCCGCTCTGCGGTTGATCGGGAGTTTCTGTATATAAAAGAAGGTGCGTGCGCCTGTTGGCGAGGGTGAGGATGAGGTTCCTCCTCCTCCTCCTCCTCCTCCTCCTCCATCCTTCTCTTGCCTCCGTCTGTCCTCCTTCACCCCACAGCTCCATCATCTTCTCCTCCTCCTCCTCCTCCTCCTCCTCCTCCTCCTCCCTCAGATCCTACTCCTCTCCCTCCTATACTGCCCCTACCTCCCTCTCCTCCTCCTCCTCCTTCCTCCACGGGGCACCGCCCACGGGGCGCGGATCAACCGGATCCACCGGATCTGTCCGGAAACGGTGCCGGAGGCCGCTCTGGGCTCCTCTGGGCACCTCCCCCGGGGCCGGTTTTGTGAGGATGTCTCAAGCGAGGGCGCGGTTTGGGATTCGTCGGCGGATCCACCGGATCTGTCGGGATCTGTCCGGAAACGGTGCCGGAGGCCGCTCTGGGCTCCTCTGGGCACCTCCCCCGGGGCCGGTTTTGTGAGGATGTCTCAAGCGAGGGCGCCGGTTTGGGATTCGTCGGCGGATCCACCGGATCCACCGGATTTGTCCGGAAACGGTGCCGGAGGCCGCTCTGGGCTCCTCTGGGCACCTCCCCCGGGGCCGGTTTTGTGAGGATGTCTCAAGCGAGGGCGCCGGTTTGGGATTCGTCGGCGGATCCACCGGATCCAGCGGATCTGTCCGGAAACGGTGCCGGAGGCCGCTCTGGGCTCCTCTGGGCACCTCCCCTGGGGCCGGTTTTGTGAGGATGTCTCAAGCGAGGGCGCCGGTTTGGGATTCGTCGGCGGATCCACCGGATCCACCGGATCTGTCCGGAAACGGTGCCGGATCCGCTCTGGGCTCCTCTGGGCACCTCCCCCGGGGCCGGTTTTGTGAGGATGTCTCAAGCGAGGGCGCCGGTTTGGGATTCGTCACCGGATCCACCGGATCCAGCGGATCCGTCAGGAAACGGTGCCGGAGGCCGCTCTGGGCTCCTCTGGGCACCTCCCCCGGGGCCGGTTTTGTGAGGATGTCTCAAGCGAGGGCGCCGGTTCGGGATTGATCCACCGGATCCACCGGATCCACAGGATCTGTCCGGAAACGGTGCCGGAGGCCGCTCTGGGCTCCTCTGGGCACCTCCCCCAGGGCCGGTTTTGTGAGGATGTCTCAAGCGAGGGCGCCGGTTTGGGATTCGTCGGCGGATCCACCGGATCCACCCTTGGCAGGTCTTAGCAGCATTTCCATTTCCCTCCAGGTGGGATCAGTGAGTGGGGAGGGGGGTAGACAAATATCAATCCAACTGGACTCGACCGATGTACACCCACACAAAACACATGACCCCAAACACCACGGCAACACACTGCCACATCACATCCCGTCGTATTGGAACACACACACACATATATATATATATATATATATATATATGTGTGATGTGTACCTATGCGTGTGATACATATATGTATGTACACACGCATGCACGCAAGCGTATGCACACGCGCGCTCACATATACATGCACATGTGTATGTACGTATGGATACATCATACAATCAAACATATGTGCATACACGTGTACATGTACGTGATTGTGCGTACACATACACACATGCTTGTATATAGCCAATACGTGCAAATACATGATCATATTAAATTCGTTCATAATGCCATACATAGGTGTGGTTATCCGAGCTACCTGTCTATCTATACTATTGTCATACCACAACCGTTTATATACGGATTTGTGGCTCCTGTGTGCATGTGGGGCTGTGTCGAAATACAGCGAAGATCTGCAGATCTCGAGCCCAAGCCGCCCAACCCCCAATCGCAGCCGCAACGGCGATGCGAGGCTATGTAGATGTGTGTATATAACATAAACGCATCACGTGTTTTATATGTGCGTATGTTTTCATGTATGTGTACACGCGCACACGTGTATACATAATCATGTTGATAAACGGATGGATGTACACGCGCACGTACAATCGTTTTAATGCTTATTCATATATGGGCGATGGTATACATAGAAATGCACATCATACCGCACATACGAGCCACCTCAAGCGGAACATCACAAACGGTGCGGACGGCGCGGCGCGGCGCGACTGATTGCGCCCCACGGGGTGAATGGGGCACATGGCCACCTTGCGCAAAACTGCGAAGAGGACGACAAAGGAGGAGAGGGAAGGAGAGGAGGGGGAGGAGGAGTGGGGAGGATGGGGGAAGAAGAGTGTGGAGAAGAAAGGGACGGAGGTGGCGACGGCGAAGGGGGTCTTCCAGGACCTCCCCCTCCTCCGCCCCTCTTGTATAGCCGTTTTGGCTCAAGCAGTACACGTTCATCCACTTGCGACGGCATCCGCTGGGCCTTGCTCTTTTTCGCGGTGCTCGGGTGCAACGCCATGTACCGGCAGAAAGTTGACATGCTCAGGGGCCTCAAGGAGGAAGACGCGATAGAGGTTGTAGCATCTGACGTCTTCTTCTACTGCGAGAATGTAGGGCTGGCGTTCGACAGGCTCATTCACTCGAGCCTGCGCAAGGAGTTCATGAATGCAGTGATTGGCCTCTATGAACAGTGCCAGTCGCCTCTGGCTTCCGAAGGCCACCCAGTCCAAGACATCGACTGGGCCTACTGGCGGCGCCGTCTAGCAAGGGCTGCAGAAACTTCTGGGTCTTCGAGTTCACAGGGCCCATCCTCATCAGCAGGCCCCCCGCCCGGGATCGTCGTGGACCTCACGAACGAGACCACCGAGCCGCCCGAGCCTGCCCAATCGCAAACTCAGGCTCGCGGGGGAAAAACGAAGAGAAGGAGGAGGAGGAGGATGAGGAGGAGGAGGAAGAGGAGGAAAAAGAAGAGGATGATGAGGAGGGGGAGGAGGAAGCGCGGGAGGGGATGAGGGAGGAGGAGGAGGAGGAGTAGGAGTAGGAGTAGGAGTAGGAGGAGGAGGAGCAGGCGGAGAAGGAGGAGGAGGAGGAGGAGGAAGGAAGAGGGCGAGGGAGAGGGAAACGGGGAGTACGGGATGAGGTGCTGTCGCTTGACGACGTCCGCAACGTACGCCATGTGCTCATGCGCATCCGCAACGGCGATGAGAAGTGGGAGGGCTCCCACGGCGGCCCGTGGACTTCCGACGACGAACGAAAATACGGCGCTCTCCTTACCAACGAGGCCCTAGATGGGGAGAAAGGTAAGAAAGGGAGTGGAGGGAGGAGGAGGGCGGGGGAAAAATAGGAGTCTTCAAACATATTTGAAAGGGGAGCGGTGGAGGTGGAGGAGGTCGAGGAGTAGGGGAATGAAGGTTCGAGCGATTTGAAATGAGAGGATCAGGAGGAGGAGGGGGGGGGAGCGGGAGGACGGGCGAAGGAACGAGCCTGTTCCGCAGAGAACCTTAAACGGAGGCATAACAAGAAGTTATAAGCAGGCAGAGGCGGAGCGAGAGACAGGAGGAGGAGGGAGGAGCTAGGAGGAGAGGAGGGGGAGGAGAGGAGGAGGGGAGGAGGAGGAAGGAGGAAGAACGAGGATCTGAGGC